CAAGTGGGGGGGGGGGGGGTGCCATCTGAAAAAAAAAAGTTGCCCCCCGCCCTTCCCTAGGGGGGCCCCCAAACAAATTTTGGGGAGTGCCAAAAAGTAGCTTACTTTGACCCAAGAACATCCTCCAAAATTCGTTTTTCTACGTGTAGCCGTAAATAATAAAAAATAAACATCCGTCCCAGGACTTTTGCCGCACCCTGTTTAGGCAAAAGTTTTAATGTATAAGGAAACTAGTGCTCACATAAACTTTTATACACAAGACACTTACCCCCAGAGCAGCGTATAATAACCATTCTTCAGTAATGCGGGGATTCTCGGCGACGCAACGATCGCGTTTCATGGCCTATCAGTACAAAAAACATTTTTTTCGAGATCCGACGACGGGTAGTGAAGGTGAGTTGCCTTTTGGGTCATTCCATGTCAATTCAACCAAAAAAATGGGAAAATGACACCCACCGATTCGATTTTTTTTGTATTTTTTTACTTAATCTATAGATCAATCTAAGAGAAAGTACCTATTTTTAGTTCCATGTGTCAAAGCTTTTGACACACACAAGCTTTTTTTTTTTTGATATTTTCAATTTCGTAAAATAATTTTTTTTTTTATTTATAGATTAAGTAAAAAAATATAAAAAAAATCCAAGTCAGTCAGTGCCAAGGCCTGATTGCATTAACATGGAATGGCCCTTTTGGCATCAAATGAGGAGGAAAAAATCCTGGCTCCATAGGACAACACTTTCATCGAAAATATGAGGCTCGAACTTCCAAAATCTGAAATTTCGTTTTTACCGTGTTTTTTTTTTTAAGATAATTACTGGATGGTTGAAAAGACACAACTGACACGTATCATACGTGTTTTCATAGATAATTTGAGGCAAGGAATCGATTTTTGTGGTTGAAAAATTAAGATATTGATTTAAAATATTGTTTCTTGCAATACTTTGTCCAAAATAGCGATTTTTTTGTGTATGTCCCAAGAAATTTTGATTCATCAATGCAGTCTTTGATAAATCGACATTTTGACTTCAAAAATAGATTCCTCGTGAAAAAATACAAAGCGTACCGGGTTTAACCTGCATAAAGTACGTAGAAATGTCGACAACTTAGGTACGATTCATACGAGTTTTCAAACTGAATTCGCCTATGAGTCATTCCACAGGAAATCATCCAGGGACTGTTGCTTGACTGAAACTAACTTTTTTTTATAATTTGGTTACTTCTTAATGTATCCAATACAAGCAGAAGAACCATTTTTAATTTTTTTCGACCATCCTGGTATCCATGGCAGCTTTGTAGAGTTGAGGTTTTCAGGCAACGAACTACACCTCTAGAATGGCCGACCAGTGTTAGAGACCCGGAACGTTTTGAAGTTGATATAGGTTAGGTTTACTTGGGCTCACACAGCAGGCTGCCATCTAAACCTATGTCAGACGCTGCCCACATTTTGCCGAATATTGTTGAATAAAGTGATAGCAATGAAAAGATTGCATAATAATCGCACCTCCAAAGGTTTTCTTAACTCAAAAAATAGGAACTTTGAAAGCAAACCTCAAAAAAAATGAAAGTTTACATAGGTTGAAATTTTCACATGTAATCCTTATGGGCAAGACGCAGCAGAAATGGAGATTGAGGTTAGCTATACTTGGGCTCCCACCCCCCTCCTGCCTTCAAAAACCGGCCCTTGCGCGTACCGCAGGTTTGCTATCTCGCGGCCATTCTAGAGGTGTAGTTCGTTGTTTTCAGGTGAATTTTGATTAAGTCGGCCTTCACGGTAACGGGCATACTTACCTCCAGTTCTATTTGACTTACAGAATTGAAACAAGACTGACGCAATACTTCTTTTTATGATCTATCTTTTTGCAATGCACTAAAATTTCTGTATCATCAAGGGAAATGAAGTTATTTCAGGACTGAATGGAGATGTATGTGGACTAAAAATCGGCAAAAACCCATATTTTGAGGATTTTTTTAAAACTTTAACGAATCGTACCTTACTTGTCGACATTTCTACGTACTATATGCAGGTGTAAACCCAGTACCTCTTGTATTTCTTCACAAGGAATCTATTTTTGAAGTCAAAATGTCGATTTATCAAAGACTTGCATTGATGAATCAAAATTTCTTGGGATATACACAAAAAAATCGCTTTTTTGGACAAAGTATTGCAAGAAACGATATTTTAAATCGGAATATTAGCTTTTCAACCACAAAAATTGATTCTTTGATTCAAATTACCTATGAAAACACGTATGAAACGTGTCAGTTGTGTCTTTTTAATCATCCAGAAATTATCTTAGAGAAAAAAAAAACCGTAAAAACGAAAATTTGAAATTTCGGAAGTTCGAGCCTCATATTTTCGATGAAAGTGTTGTCCTATGGAGCCAGGATTTTTTCCTCGTCATTTGATGCCAAAAGGAAACTCACCTACACTACCCGTCATCGGATTTCGAAAAAAACGTTTCTTGGACTGATGGGCCATGAAATTCGATCGTTGCGACGCCGAGAATCCCTGCATTCCGGCCATCATCTAGTACCCAAACTGAAGAATGGTTAGTAGACGCTGCTCTGAGGGTAAGTGCCTTGTGTATAAAAGTTTATGTAAGCACTAGTTTCCTTGTGCATTAAAACTTTTGCCTATATATCACTAAATAATAGAATTTGATGCAGTTAATGCTAAAAATTACCAAATTTATCTCAGAATTCGAATGAAAAATTGATATATCAATTAAATACGATACGTTTTGAAAACCAGTAAAATGGAATCCTCGTGAAAAAATATATAGGAAAACATGTACTTGATGATGAAATTGCGTGTTTGAGGGCACCTTCACTGATCCGAATAAGAAAAAACCTGATGTTTTAGGCATTTTAACGATGCAAATATTCGAGGGGCTTAAGCGCCATGTCCCCATTGGAATAACGGCTGCGGACCATTTTTCCAGTAATCTACATGCAATTTGGCCACCTTTTTTCCCTATTCAGATTTTATAGCGTTCAGATCGGGAATTCCGATCACCCCTACAAGTGCTTCATTAGGTAATTCACTTAAAACATCATATTTGGATCATTCCATGCCAAATCAAACCAGGGATTTGACCTGACCCCTTCAGAATTGGATGAAATGTGACACACTCCTACTGCTCACTGAAATGAGTTGTAAAATGAAAATGAAAGAGGTTGTTCCAAAAACGCCGACTTTGGCCCCCCCTGGAAATTGGCCCAAACTTTGCTCAGATGTTGTACTAAGTGTCCCCGATGCTTGGGCAAAATTTCAGCCCCCTCGGATAATAAGGAGGGAGGGGGCAGGGGGCAAAGTTGCAATTTTTTCAAAACTGTTAAAATCGATATCTTTCGAACGGTTTGAGTGTAAGTGTTGCGGTTTGCGCTAAAAAACGTTAAAAAATATTCTCTACAAGAATATTAATGCGGTTTGCAGGGTTGCGTAATTTATCGCGATCATAAGTCGATTTTTTTGATTTTGACGTTTCGACTTTTTTTTAGTTTTTCGTCTTTCCTCTCTTTGGAATTGTTGCTACGTGAATGAAAACCTGTTGAGGTGATTCTCCATAAAATTCTGCATCTACCACACGTTGATTGACCTTGGGAAAACGATTCGTTCGTGAGTTACAGCGATTTTTCTGCGCGTTACCGGTTACGCGCGGGCGGCATATCGGTGGCGCTCCATCCCGCGCGGGCAAGGCAGAGGTTGTTTCACCGCTAGGGCCTTATATTCATTCTGTAGGCTGTAATTATCGATATTTTCTCCTCCCCCCACCCTTCCCCTCCAATAAAAATGTTTTAATACTTCGTCATACAGGGTATGCCAGACCACCCGTAACAGGTCTTTTTCTCGGTTGGTTTAGGTGGTACGAAGTGGGGGACCGCGGGGTTGAATAGGGAATTGACCCCAAGGAATCCGAATTTCACGGCCCCGAAACCCCCCATGCCTCCCTTCGGAGGTAAAGAGGGGGTCACGATCCCAAAAGTCGGGAGACATTGTGTCTCCCCCTTTTACCCCCCGAGGGTGGCCTCGGGACCATGATAATCGGATTCCTTGGGGTCGATTACCTAGGAAATCATCTGTTTACGGAGAATTTACGTCAATTTGCGCCCAAAAATGATCTCTTCAAGACTGGGACATTGGCCCCCTCCATAATTTCCCTTTGGTCAATTTTTGTCGTCAACTCACGAACGAATCGTTTCCCCAAGGTCAAACAAAGTGTGGTAGATGCAGAATTTTATGGAGAATCACCTCAACAGGTTTTCATTCACGTAGCAACGATTCCAAAGAGAGGAGAGACGAAAAACTAAAAAAAGTCGAAACGTCAAAATCGAAAAAATCGACTTATGACCGCGATAAATTACGCAACCTTGCAAACAGCATTAATATTCTTGTAGAGAATATTGTGTAACGTTTTTTAGCGCAAACCGCAACACTTACACTCAAACCGTTCGCGAGATATCGATTTTTGAAAGTTTTGAAAAAATTGCAACTTTGCCCCCTGCCCCCTCCCCCATAATTATCCGAGGGGGCTGAAATTTTGCCCAAGCATCGGGGACACTTAGCACAACATCTGAGCAAAGTTTGGGCCAAATCCAGGGGGGGCCAAAATCGGCGCTTTCGGAACAACCTCTTTTTTTCTATGTCTCGTTTCACTTTAGTTGACCTTTAAAAAGCAAGAAAATTGGTGAATATTGGCACCTTCAAGAGTCTGCGACTTCAGGACAGTTGATCCGAGCCAAACCGTTCTGGTACCAATGGAAAGCCCCATAAATTATAATTTAGTTCTACATGTGAAAAAAAAATGCCGGTCAAAAGAGGTACTAGGTTCATGAAATAATGAGACAAGGAACCCAGAATCCAGTCATGTGTCCATGGGCTGGGGTCCATGGCCGGTTCTCTCAGCGCCCCCCCCCCCCCCCCCCNGGATCCAATGGTCGCAGGACTGTGCCATAATTTAGGTTTGTCCTCTACAAATCTTCAAAAAGAAAAATTTTACCTTTAGCAAGTTTAATCTTGTTTTAGACAAGTAGTTCCAATTGATAACACTCTCAATATTTTCTGACTCTTCACAAACCCTTGTCAACAACTGCATGACAACTTCGACACCTCCTTCTTCCATTTCTTCCAGACGAGCCTATAAATTTAAAATTTTCAAATTAAAATACCAGAAGCATTGCAGAATAAAACTAAGTGCTCTAACAAAGACTAGATATTCTCAGACATGAATTTCTAGACCTAACATAAATCCAGACCAACTGATGAAGTTGACTTGAAATGGACTATATTTTGCAATAAGGAACTACCATTTCAGGCTCAATTTAAAAGCAATATGTGAGTCATCTCATGTCTTATGCAGATGTGTGCTTTTACGGATGAGCCAGAAAAAAAAGTTCCTTATTTTAAAATGAAGTACATATGTTTGATGGAAATGTCTGCACATCAGTTTTTTCAAGGCCTTCGAATGGCTATAAATGCTAATGATTAGAAGAAGCCATCTTTTTGAAGGTAATATCTAATAACACATCATTTATAAAATTCAGTTTTGCAAGGACTTTTCGGTCTTAATTTATTTTAATTACTTAGTTCGGTGTTTTGAATCTGATAAAGAAAACATGAAAAGTCTAACTACAGTCAAATTTATTTCCGATGTTCGAAAATTCCTGTGATTGTTCTGAATTTTTAGTATGGCTGCATAGGAGGTTGAAGCCCTCCTAAGTCTACAAATTTCCCCATTTTCACCAGAACTGAAAATTCTAGGTAAATATGGAGAGTTTCGTGAGAACAGATAAATCTTATTTCCAATGTTCATCTGGAATTTCTGGTAGAACCCTACTCTCTTAATCAGAATTTCTTAATTTTTGAGTAATTTTTATGCCTCAGCAATGCCATCATACAAAAAAGAAGAAAAAATTAAGTTTCCCTTAAGGTATGAGATGATCAAGGAAGACATACCAATATTTCAGGTCGGCGGTGCTGGAAAAAATCTTGGAATCCCCAATCTAAGGGATGAGACTGAAATGGGGAGTGGAAGACTGAATGTTTAACTACAGTTAAAGGTTGCAGATAAATAATATCCCAAAAGCAGGCAAATGCCACAGCTCTTACTGTTCCACCTTCATCATGAAGAACTTGAGTGAAGCCAAGTTTTCTGTAGTATGATTTGGCAATTTCCTCGACGGAAGAAAATTCAACGCCATCGTCTGTTTCGGTGACATAAATTTGTTTGTAACCTGCTTGACCTTCAAGGCATCGAGCGTTGATTATAACACTAGTAGGGGTTGGGATATCGAATAAATATTTTTCAACCTCTGCTTTGAATCCCTGAGAAACAGGCTTGGTTTTTCTCCTGACCAGCGTTGAACCACGAATAGACAAAGTGTACTTCATTGGTAAGTCTATCTCAGGGTCTTTTAAACCTTGCAAGACAATACAAAGGGCTTTTTCAGTGTCCTTCAAATAATTTTGATATGTCATTGCCAATTCTTCATAAAATGTGCCTCTCTTATGAAACGCATATAATTTTTGATCTATGAGTAGATTTAATGCTTTTACTATAAAATTTTTGTCAGTACCCTTTTTATTCTCATTAATGACACTAAATAAGTTCCTTGCATAAACATGCCCAGCCGTAAAACGACGTAAAAATGCCGGTAAAGTTTCGACGTAATTATTGATTTCGACATCTTTAAGAATTTCTTCAAATTTATTAAATGAAATGTTGGCATACTCGGCCACTTTTGTCCAATTGATGTCCTTTTTGTTCCTATTTAATGCAATAAAAACATTTTCGTTTATTTTCAAAGCTTCATGGTACATGCTGAATGACCTTTCAAAAGAAAAAACAACAGTCTTGTGGACTACATACGAAGGGAATGAAATTTCATTTTTCTGGACCTTTACTAATCGGTCCAAATAATCCTTTAACCTTGTTTGAGGATCTCCACTGAAAAAAGGATAAGTGGCGAAGAGTAAACATTGAAAGAAAGCATTTCTAGGACCATCAGTCAATTTGATACAGTGACCGAGAAGTTTTTTAGTTTGCTGTATGAGAATTGATGTTTTTGAAGACTGCTGTTGACTTGTCTTCGAAAAGAACCTGAGTATGGGTTGCTTCCGTTCGTAATCTACTAATAGTTTTATTAATTCAGGTTTTGATTTGTTATCACTGACACGAATAATTTTGCACAAGCTTTTGAGATCTTTCACTTGTAATAAATTCAACATTGATGGTAAATCTAAACTATTCAGGTTAGAAGTTAAGAAACCTTCTTCTTCCAATTTGATTATTTCTGAAACGAGCTCTTCATTCGAGATATTGAGGGCAGCTTCATAGCTCTTAAGATCTTGCAAACGATACCATTTATACTGGCGATTTATTAACAGCCTTGCATACAACCTTCTTCTGGTTTGGTGTAAGGATCCATTTGCAGTAAATTTTTCGAGTTCAATTAGGTCAACGAAAATTCCGTTTTCTTTATTTTTCTTCAAGAAAGTGAGACAGTCAGTGAGTGCAGCCTCAATACAAGATGAATAGCTGTCTACGTAGGTATAGGATTCATCAGACGGCTTTTGAGGGGAGAAGACTAGATTGCTGTCTTTGGAGTCTTGCGAAAGTTTTTGGTTCTGGAGTTCAAATTCTTGAGAGGATTTGTAAAAGGGAGAAGATAAAAGTTCTATTGAAATATCATTAATCTGACTTAGTTTACTTTTGCTAGTATGTGCTGTGTCTATGAATTGAGAATCTTTCATAGAAAAGCTTTCTCCAGAAACAGAGCCTGATACATTATCAAAATTTTCGTCTGGCTTTGCACTTGGAAACAAAGTTTTCTTTATTTTCTTTTTAATTCTTTTTCTTTTAAAAATCTCATCATCTTCTTCAGGCGGACTGTTAGCTCCAGTTGAGTGGTTCTCTTCTGGATCATCTGGAGAAAAAGCGCTGGAGTCCCTGGCATAGGATGTTGACTCCATGGGCTCTTTCAAGATCGTCACTTTTTTAGGAGGTGAAAGGACATCAGCATCAATTTCAACTTCAGTTAGATCAAAATCATCAGATAGTAAACTTTCAAAAGCTTCTTTGTCTGGTGAAGGTAACTTTTCATCTTCTTTAATAGACTGAAGTACCTGAGTTAAAGGATTCACAGATGACTTAGTGCGACTTTGTTGAAAATAAAAAGTTATTGGCTTATTCTTAAAGGCTGGAGAGTTCTTTCTAAACGGAGAATATTTCGTTAGAGCTGATGATGTTTTCTTCCACGGACTCTTTGTGGGCGAAGAAATGAATTTACCTGGCCTTCTTGCAATGTCTTGAGATAGGCTTTGTTTGGGGTTGACTTGATCAATATCATAAATTTTCTTGGGTGTTAATGTGATGGTACTACTTTTCCTCTGTTTGATTCCTGATTTATTTCTTGTTGTTGGGTTCACACCTTCTGCAATGATCTCCACATAATCTTGAGACATTTTGTAAGATTCTTCAAATCGCTCTGAAAAAGTACAATAAAATTAGTTTGTGGTATAAAGACAGTTTAGATAGCATGAGGAAAACTTCACCTTTGCGGAGGAACCTTTTTAAGTGGGTACCTACATGAATTTATAGATTGAAGAAGATGCTTGGGGAATAACTTGCATAAGTATTTCCTGAACTTTATTATTCTTTTTTGTATATCCACTCTCTTCTGCGACTTTATTGTGACTTCATAAATCAAAATAATGGCTTGTTCCATTTGCATAATAGCGGCATTCTCTCCCCTGTTCGCAGGATAGCCAAATTTTCCCCGAACTAAACAGCAGGGCGATTATTGAAATGATATCGACTCTACATCACCACTTTGTCGTGTTGACACGACAAAGCGGCGACATAGTCGATGTCATTTCAATAATCGCCTTGCAGAGTGGGCAAAAAGTTGCCCTGTCTGCAGTATGGACAGGTTCACAGATAGGGTGGAATAGGGGCGCCACTCCAGATATTTGTAGGGCCTGGTAAGAGGTGATGAGTTACCTCTTTGTAAATTTACCTACCACTTACTGAAGTACAGCAGGTGGCGATGTGGTTGTACACTCGGGCAAAATAATCAATTGGGGTGTAGAAATAGTTTATGAACTCGAGCTTTTTTTCCCTCTCTAAGTAGTAATACCGAGCTCTTTTTCCCGGGCCTGACTCCTAAATAAAGGGCCAGGCAAAAGCCGGGCCTGCCACCCCCTAAATAGCGCCTCTACGCTCTAGGATGGAATGTTGACACTGGATAGAATCTATTCTTTCTGATTATCTTTTCTGCTATTTCCTCACAATTAGGTAAGAAGGGTTGTGTTGCCGGCTTGATATTTTCCCTCATTCTAATTGATCAGTACTTTCCTGAGCTTAAGTCAGCTTATACGGGCACCTTTCAACATAATTTTAGTGCAAAATCGAAATCCCTGAAAACATAAATGCTTGTAGAAAGAGCTACAGGTGATGATGGTTCACCTTAAACCATTCGACTCTTCTAGGAGATATTACAATTAGTTTGACTTGCACAGCTGTATAAAATATCATTGGCTCAGGTAACACTTACGGAATAGCTTTCATTGCGAGAATTTTGGAAACGGTGGATGAAGGCATGTCTAAGTCTCTAAGATGAAGATGAAGGCTAACGCTAACGCATAACATCAGAGAGTATAGAATAAGGTTAGAGCAAGAGCAGAGAGTATAGAACAAAGACATAAAGACGGAGCGCTCGTATCTAAAAGCACGGGGGAAAAAGTGAAGCTAGGTTCGGCCAGGGACCAGTTCTATAGGACCCTGGACTCCCGTAAGAGTCAATGTAAAAATTCGTGAGCAGGTACTAGTGCTGCATTCTCGCGTAGGATCCTCGCAACTCACTGCTGTTATCAGTTGTTGGACTTCATTAAAATCCGTAGGATCGCGTATAACTGCAAAAAATCGAATTTTTCAGCCTATTGACACATGCGGCGGGCTCTTCCTTGTCGAAAGGGGTCGAAAAACGCCAAAAATATACTTATTTTTCAAGAATTCAGCCGCCTTTTGTGTTATTTTTCAATCTCCAGCTTAACCTCACTTTTGGAGCGGGCGATGGATGAGTCGAGGTTCGGGGGGAAGGATCCTCTGAGTTGACTAGGATCCTACGCGAGAATGCGCTGCAATCACCCGCTCACAGCAGAACGGCGTCCTATAGAACTCGTCCCTGGTTCGGCTAGAGTCCCTTTATACTGAGAGTCAAGACAACACCCCTCATGGAGTCACAAACGGGAATAAAGATTACACAAATTGAACGTTTTTCGTAATCTTTGATCGGCTCATTCTTAAATTCCTTTCTCCGTTCCTTCTCTCATTCCGTTTGTTCCTTGTCGAACCCGAAATTCCTCGGTCCATTCCAGATT